AAGTGTATGACCCGTAACAAGTAATAGTGGACCTAAGAGTCCGGTTATCGATTCCACAAGGACTATTTTCTAGCACTTAATTTAATCGTTATTTAACTGCTATTTGACGAATATAAATAAAAAACAATGATTAAATGTGATTTTTATTCTAAAGACTTAAAAATGCGATTGGATTCAACGAAAAGTGATTGAGAACTCAAACAATAAATGGACGTTAGGGCGGAACAATTTCACATATTGGTAACTTTTACTTCATAAATCAAGATTCATAAAACCTAAGGTAGTGTTCGGTCGAATTCTTCTATTGTATTCAACTTACCCCTCTCGAGTTCTCATTGAGCCTATTTAATTAGTTTAATTCCATATCTCTATGCAAATTAAATTTAATTAAACGAAACATTGGTTTTAAGAATTCACACACGATTGTAGCAATCAATATAGGTATCTCTACACGTTATATCAATTTACCGGATTTTAACATGTGGTCTAAACAAATAATCTGCATCTCTACGCAATCATTGTTCACAAATCATCTAATTAGTGATCTAGTAATTAAATGTATTAAGAACAACATTAAAATCAACACATAAAATATAAAAGCACTAGAATCTCAATTGCATGAAATAAAGGATTCCAAAAGATTACATTGTTCGCCCTAAAATCAAATTTAACTACTCATAATAATGGAAGAAAAATAGGAAATTGTCTTAGAATACATCACCGAGTTTGAAATAAAGATGTAGAAGAAAAAGTGGAATTCTTGCACCAAGATCTCATTCCTCTTCCAATGAATGCTTCCAATCTTCAATTCTTGGTGTTAATCTTCTTAAATTTCTCCTTTGAATCTCCCTTCTTGTTGTTTTCTCTCCAATATGTCAAGAACCCCTCAAAAGTATGAGGAAGAAGTATTTATAGGTGCCCCTCCATTTTTATGTAGAAGTAGGGTTTTTATGGCTTTAAAAACGGCCCAAAAAATGCGCCCTAAATCGCCAATCCCAGCGCCTAGGCGCTACAAGACAGCGCCTAAGCGCTGTGTCTTCAGCGCCTAGGCGCTACCTCTCGGGTCCAAATTTCATATATTTTTCGTTTCGTAGCGCCTAGGCGCTATGAGTGCAGCGCCTAAGAGCCGTCTTTCTGCCCAAATTTCGAGTTTTTGGCCTCTTCGTCCACTTTAATACTTCTTTTCACATCACTTCTCCTTATCTTCAAAACAATACTAACAAACACATCAAAAACGTTCTATACTCATAAAATCTAGCATTTAATCAAGTTAAAATTGTGCGAAAATCATGAGTGAAACAAACTCATCAAATACCCCCAAACTTAACCGTTTGCTAGTCCTCGAGCAAACACTAAAACTTGTAAAAAATAATTAATGGACACATAAGCACAAGTAAGACAAACAAAATCACTTAAAATAAATTTCGCTAGATAGCTTGCCTTCATGTCTGAGAATTAAAAACATAACTTCGATTCCATGAACCACTTCAAAGATATATTGCAAAAGTTAAATTCTAACCTATTCAATGCACAACGGGTGTGTGTGTGTGGAGAGTCAAGTGCAACGCTGTACAAGAATAAGTTGACCTAATTCCCGACCTTAGAAGTTAAATTTTTCCTTACTTTGCTCGTGGGATTCACACACCCCCAAAACTTATTTTCTTTTCTCTTTCCAAGGGTGTAACCTAATGTTAAATTTTCAATACTAATTTCTTACACTACTCAAGTTTGGTTAGATTTTACTGATTGTAGTTCCACATGTCAACAAATGAGGATTCTCCTTATTTTTGACTGCTTCAACCTCTAGAAATCAACCAAGTTACTTACCCCTTATCAAAGGTCTAATCCTTTGAAACAAGTGTTTGGGGCTTAATCAAGACATTTGATATCTATTTTTTTTCTCTTTTTATTTTTTAATTTTTTTCATATATATATTTATTCTTTAATCACTCTTTGTGCGGACGTCTCTCCCTTAAACTTTCTAAATGACCCCTATAACGAGCTTTAGGCCGATGACTCCCAAATCAGATGACTTTAGGACACCATGTTTTAAACCCTTACAGGCTTAATCACTCGAGTCATAAAGGCTATGAAGAGACGATTCACAATGAGATTATTAAAGTTGTCCTCATTGGGATCTTTTTATTTTTATTTTTTTATGCGGTGATTAGTGCAATGCCCCTTATTAAACACCTATCCTCGAAAATCGATCTCTAACTTAAGGTTTTCACCCAATTTTCATCCCATTAGTCTCAGACAGTCCACACAAAAATTAACACACACGAAATTCACATTTATCTCCAAGTTTTTCTACAACAGTGCAATCATCCAAACGTCCTAAATTTGGTTTAAGGGTATTGTGATGTTTAATGGTTGTTTGGGTTTAGCATCTAAGTTCTCTATTTCAACCTATAAGCGTGAATCAACCTCCTCATGCACAACGCTACAATCAACTCACGTGCAAAAATAATTTTCATTTTACATGAATAAGCAAAAATCTAACTCAAACACATAACTCGTCCACAATTCATAAATCAACGCATGTTCTCAATTACACATATCAATACTGGCAAGGTTATCTAACACACACAAGCATGCAAAAACACGAAATTTTTTTTTTGGGAAGAATAAAAACACAAACAAGTAAATCACACATAAGCATTCGAGGAATTCAACAACGTAAGCAAAATTATTCACACTCCCCCAAACTTAACGGAAACATTATCCTCAATGTGAAATAGAAACAAAATGGGGAGGGGACTTACCTGAGGACGACGACTAATCGTCGTCGTCGACATCGTCCTCCTGAGCATTCGGAATAGGATTGGCAGCGTGATCAGGTAGGAGAGGCGGCTGAGGAAATGGTCGATCAGGGTAATTCGAAGCCAATACCGCATTGAACTCATGTTCATAATGCAATTACTCGCACAATGTATTTTGCATCAAATTCATTTGCAATTGCATGTCATGAAGCTGAGCGGCAAGGGCAGAAGTGGGATCACTAGCTGGTGTCGATCGGCTGGAACGGGGAGGCTGGTCGCTCCGAGGAGGGGGTGGAGCACTGGTAGATTCAGAGCGGCGTAAGAACTTCCAAGTATGCGCTCGTGTGATAGCCGATTTGGGGTGTACAACCTCCTCAGTCGGGTATGTGACAACACCACCCACTAAGCAAAGCTCATAAATCAATGAAGGGTGCTCTAGACCACCTGTAGTTGATCCTCTCAAAGTGTGTAAGATGTTGTTGTGAATAACTTTACCAACATCAATGGATAGGCGGCATTGAATGGCATAATTGAGGGTCGCTCGTTCTTTTGTTACTTCACTTAAGTTGCTACTGGGAATAAGTTTACCAGAAATGAAGTGGTGCCAAGCCTTACAACCCGAAGTCATACCAGAAGCAGGGACGTTAATTACATCAATCTCCGAACGTTTCCATGTAGTGCCAGTTGTAGTCAAGGCTTGAATAACCTCATCAGGATCAACACCCTCGTCACGAAGTCTAGAGTACTCGTTATTTTCAATATCTTGCAAATGATAAAACATGTTGATGGAGGTTCTATCAAACGATATCCATTTACCCCACACAAACACTCGAAAATCTCAATACTCCTTCGCATTGGCGTAGAACTCCCTAACAACGGGAATTAGCGCCGATCGTGATTGCTGAGCAAACACCTCCCAATTCCGCCGACCTATTTGCTCTGTCATATAATTGTCAAAACCACATTCAGGGATACAGGTCTTGTGTACCACCAAGCTATTATAACGTTCGGCGGCCTCGGCACTAATGAATTTGCTCCTGTCAAAAGAGCTAGAAGAGGAGGCTGCGGCTTTAGATCTCTTTTTAGGCAGCATTGGACCTGTAAAAGGGTAGAACAAGCAAACCATGAGCAAAAACAGTAATAAAGGAAAATAAGGCAAGGCTAAAAATCTAGCCATAAGAGGAAACTATGGTCGAACGTGCAATAGATGTATTCTAAACCCAATTTTCAATTCACGATCATCTATATGGCAATTCCCACATAATTCAATTAACACAATAACCAAAACAGCTCCTTGTACCCAACTAAGTTCACCTAGACAATTCATCAAACACAATGAAGGCACCCAATTTCCACCAAAAATTTGCCCATAATTTGGGAGTAATTAATGCCACATTATTCGCACCACACACAAAGTTCTTGACACTACAACAAGGCAAGCCCTCCTCTTAACCTAATTAACAAAAATAGGCACATAAAAGCAACAACTATCATGTAAGAGGAGCAAATATAATAGCCATACCTGGAATGGTGTTGTGGAAACTAATTGGGATGGATGAATTCACACTTATCAACAATGAGATGTGGAAAACAACAAAGGGGAGTGGGAGGGGGGGCGAGAATATGTGTAATTGAAAGAATTGTGATGTGGGTGAGGTGATAAAATAAATTCAACCAAAAACAAAACTAAATAAGGAAAGAGAGGGGAAGAGTGTACCTTGGAAGGGTTGAGGAGGAGATGAAAAGGGGTAAATTCAAGGGGTTGGGGAAGAAGATGAGAGGGGAGAGGGAGGAGATGAGAGGGAAAAAGGGTCGGGGAAACTCGTATGTGAGGAAGGATGTGGGTTTAGGTTATAAGAAATAGAAAAGAAATGAAAAAAAAAATGGGGAGGGGAAGGTCAAGTTCGCAGCGCCTGGGCACTACAAACCTGTGCCTAGGCGCTGCGTTTCTGCTGAAACAGGCAGTTCTTAGCGCCTGGGCGCTGCGAACTCAGCGCCTAGGCGCTGAGTTTCTGCCTCATTTTGTAATTTTTTTTTTTACGCTCATTCATTTTCATTGTAGAACTCAAAGTCTGCAATATGTAACCTTTATGGATTCTCCTACAAAAGCAAAAGAAAATGTTACTACGATAGCATAAATTATTAAAGGAAGAAAACAAAATCAAAGCATAAACCAATAATCAAATAAAGAATAGAGCTTGGGTTGCCTCCCAAGAAGCGCTTCTTTTAAGTCATTAGCTAGACGTAGTGTCGCAGTTGTTCAGGAACAGCTAGATCAAGACTCTCTTTAACGGTGGGGAAATCTTCCACATAATGCTTGATGCGTTGACCATTTACTTTGAAATTTTCTTTAGTTGGATAGTGTAATTCAACTGCCTCGTAGGGAAACACCTGAGAGACCGTAAAAGGGCCAGACCATTGAGACTTCAATTTTCCTGGAAAAAGTTTAAGCCGGGAATTGTATAATAGCACTTGATCCCCTACTCGAAAAATTCGTTGCCTAATGTTCTTGTCGTGCCACTGCTTTGTCCTTTCCTTATAGATGGATGCATTCTCATATGCCTCTCTTCTGAATTCCTCTAACTCATGTAGCTGTAGTACTCTTGTTTCTCCAGCCTTTTTGAGGTCCATGTTTAACTGCTTGAATGCCCAATACGCTCTGTGCTCAAATTCCACTGGTAGGTGGCATGCTTTCCCAAAGACTAGTCGGTATGGGGACATTCCTATAGGTGTCTTGTAAGCTGTGCGATATGCCCATAAAGCATCGTCCAATTTTTTTGATCAATCCTTGCGAGATGCATTCATAGTGACCTCCAAAATTCTTTTCAATTGTCTGTTTGATATTTCCACCTGTCCACTTGTCTGAGGGTGATAAGGAGTGGCAATTCGATGTTGTACTCCGTACTTATGCAAAATTGCCTGGAACAACCGATTGCGGAAGTGCGTTCCACCATCACTTATAATGGCCCTAGGTGATCCATATCAGTTAAATATGTGTTTCTTTATGAAGTCCACCACCACCCTTACGTCATTTGTAGGCATTGCTTTAGCTTCTACCCATTTTGAAACATAATCCACCGTAACCAGGATGTACCGATTGTTGTAAGATGATGGAAACGGACCCATAAAACCAACCCCCCAGACATCAAATATTTCCACTTCCAAAATGTTGTTAAGTGGCATCTCGTGACGCGCTGATATGTTACCTGTCTTTAACACTTATCGCATGACCTACAGAAATTGTGGCAGTCCTTGAACAATGTAGGCCAAAAGAAACCACGTTGGAGCACCTTTGCTGCTGTTTTAGTGGGGCCAAAGTGCCCTCCATAAGCCGAAGCATGTACTCGTGAAAGGATCGGTTTCATTTCATCCTCAGGTACACATCTCCTAATGATCTGGTCCGTCCCTCTCCTGTACAAATTTGGGTCATCCCAGTAATAGAATTTCGCTTCATGACTGAGCTTCTTCTTTTACTGATAGGTGAGATCCAGATCCATATAGCCACTGGCTAAGTAATTCACAATGTCTGCATACCACGGAGCTTTTTTTACATGCAGTGACTGTTCATCTGGGAAGACCTCATTAATATTCATATCATCTGAATTCTGATGTTGCTCTATCCTTGACAAGTGATCCACTGCCTGATTTTTTGTTCCTTTTTTTATCACGAATCTCGATGTCAAATTCTTGTAGTAACAGCACCCAGCGAATTAGCCTTGGTTTCGCATCCTTCTTCTCAAACAAATACTTCAGAGTTGCATGGTCTGTATAAACTATCACCTTGGATCCAATCAAATAAGAACGGAATTTGTCAAAAGCAAAAACAACTGCAAGCAATTCATTTTCAGTTGTTGCATAGTTGATCTGAGCATCATTCAATGTTTTGCTAGCATAGTAGACAACATGAAATACTTTTCCGTTGCGTTGTCCAAGCACTGCCCCCACTGCAAAGTCACTGGCATCACATATGAGCTCAAAAGGCAATTCCCAATCTGGAGCCGCAATCACAGGTGCCGATGTCAATTTTTCTTTCAAAATGTTGAAGGCTTTCAAACACTCCTCAGAAAATTGAAAGGGTATATCTTTCTCCAGCAGGTTGCACAACGGTTTTGTAATTTTTGCAAAGTCTTGAATGAATCTTCTATAAAACCGTCATGTCCCAGAAAACTCCTGATCCCCTTTACTGAATTAGGTGGCTGCAATTTCTCAATCACCTGTATTTTGGCTTTGTCCACTTCAATCCCCTGTGCAGAAATTCTATGTCCTAGTACTATTCCTTCCTTTACCATGAAATGACATTTTTCCCAATTAAGCACAAGATTCTTCTCCTCACATCTTTGCAATACAAGAGCTAACCGCTCCAAGCAATCGTCAAAGGAATCTCCAAACACAGAAAAATTATCCATAAAAACTTCAATATACTTTTCTACCATGTCAGAAAAGATGGCCATCATGCATCATTGAAAGGTTGCCGGTGCATTGCATAAACCAAAAGGCATTCTTCTAAACGCAAACGTTCCATAAGGGCATGTGAAGGTTGTCTTCTCTTGGTCTTCTGGAGCAATTACTATCTGATTATACCCTGAATATCCGTCCAGAAAGCAATAATGAGAATGTCTTGCCAACCTTTCCAACATCTGATCAATGAATGGTAATGGAAAATGGTCTTTTCTGGTTGCATTATTTAGCTTTCTATAATCTATGCATACTCTCCACCCTATCACTAACCGTGTTGGTATCAACTCGTTGTTCTCGTTCTTCTCCACTGTGATTCCACCCTTTTTTGGTACAACATGTACAGGGCTCACCCACAAACTATCAGATATGGGATAAATTATTCCTGCATCCAATAATTTCAGCTCTTCTTTTCGCACTACTTCTTTCAAGGTTGGATTCAATCGGCGTTGTCCTTCCATTGATGCCCTTGACCCGTCCTCCATTAGAATCTTGTGCATGCAAAGAGTTGGATTGATCCCTCTTATATCTGCTATTGTTCATCCAATTGCCATTTTTTGTTGCCTGAGTACCTCCAACAATTTATTCTCCTCTTCCCTTGTCATGTCATTTGCAATGATTACTGGCAGTGTTGACGATTCTCCCAAATATGCATAACGAAGGTGGGAAGGTAAGAGCTTAAGTTCAAGAGTGGGTGCCTTTTCCACTGAGGGTACCGGGGGAAAAAGGGTTGTCTCCTGGAGATTCATACTGCCAATGCCTTCTTCCTATGGGTTGCTCGGCTAAGTTGACAACACATTCAGCTTTTCCTGCATTTGTTGCTTCCAATTGTGCAAATTCTGCCTCACAAAGATTTGTGTGATGTTCTATATCAAATGTATCCGCCAAAAGCTCTTCAAGAACATCAACTTGGTAGCAAGTGTCGAAAGTCAATGGGTGTTTCATTGCCTTGAACACGTTGAATATGACTTGCTCATTGTTCTCTCGAAGAATCATTTTTCCATCATACACATCAATCAATGCTCTCCCAGTAGCCAAGAACGGTCTTCCCAAGACCAGAGGAATATTTGAGTCCTCTTCCATGTCCAAAATGATGAAATCAGCCGGAAAAATAAATTTGTCGACTTTAACCAGCACATCTTCAATAATTCCCTTTGGTAGTTTGATTGATCTGTCGGCCAGTTGCAAAGAGATTGTTGTAGGTTTTGCTTCTCCTAATCCAAGAGACCTGTAAATAGAGAGAGGCATCAAATTAACACTTGCGCCTAAATCACATAAAGAATGTTCAAAGAAATTAGAACCAATTGTGCAAGGTATAGTGAAACTTCCTGGGTCTTTTAGCTTAGGAGGTAGCTTTCTCAATAGTATTGCACTGCACTCCTCGTTCAAGCATACAGTCTCATGTTCTTCCAGCTTCCTTTTGTTAGATAGGATCTCTTTCAAGAATTTTGCATAACTGAGCATTTGGGCAATTGCGTCTGCAAAAGGAATATTGATGTGCAGTTTCTTCAAAATCTCCACAAACTTGGCAAACTGATTATCCAACTTCTTTCTTTGTAACATTTGAGGGAATGGAATTGGTGGCACATAAGCCTTCACGGGGCTGGGTGCTCTCACTGCAGGTGTTTCCTTCCTTTCGTTTTCCTTGTCAATTGGTTGTTCAAACTCTACTTCTTTACCAGCCTCTTCACCCATTATTTCCTTTTCTTTTCGCTCAGGTCTCTTCACTTGTATTTCTGGAAGTTGCACCCCACTCCTGGTAGTAATAGCTTGCACTTGATCTTTTGGATTGACCATTGTATTGCCTAGCAATGTCCCTTGTGGGCGTTCTGCAAGCTGTTGAGCTATCTGACCAATTTGTGTTTCCAACTTCTTGATTGATGCTTGCTAATTCTAAAAATTAGCGTCAATCTGCTGAAACACCTTGTCAGTCTTCTGCATATACTGGTTGAACATCTCCCCCAAACTTGGTTTTTTCTCCTGTTGGGCATTATTTGAACTGTTACCTTGTTGATTATCCGACCATCTGAAGTTTGGGTGTTGTCTCCATCCTGGGTTGTATGTTTGAGCAAATGGATTAAAATTTCGAGGCCCATTCTGAATGAAATTCACCTGCTCGTCGGGATAGCCTATAGATGTGCAGTTTTCTGTTAGATGATTAGCCCCACAGTTTTCGCATGATGGACCAGCTGTAACTGCATGTGCTCCTTTCGTTTGTGATTTCACCAATAACTCCATTTGTTTTGTTAATGCCACTATTTGGGCGTTGGTAGCTGCTGCGCTGTCTAACTCATACATTCCTCCTATCTTCGGTGGCGCCACTCTTTTCGATGAGAACATGGAATGTGTAGTGGCAATCAACTTAAACAGTTCCATGGTTTGCTGCACAGATTTTCCTATAATTGATCCTCTAGCTGAGGCATCGACTTGAGATTTTGACAGTGGTGTAAGTCCAGTGTAGAAGTACTGCACTTGATTACCTATAGTAATTCCATGGTTTGGGCATTTTCTCATCAACTCATTAAACATATTCCATGCTTCGTGATAGCTTTCTCCCTCTTTCTGTTGAAAAATCTGAATTTCTAATATGATTTTAGCTATCCTCGCCGGTGGGAAAAATTTATTACAGAACTTCTTGATTAGTTCTTCCCATGTAGTAATGCTAGCGTGAGGCTCAGCATCTAACCACTCCAATGCAACATCTCTCAATGTAAATGGGAATATTCGTAGTTTAATAGCATCTTCATTGACTCCCGGAGCATGGAAGTTCTGACAGTTTCTGAGAAATCTAGCAATATGTGTGTTTGGATTCTCTTGAGGTAGCTCGCAGAATTGCAGGGTGTTGCTCATCAAGTTAATCCAATCTGGCCTGATCTGAAAGTTATTCACCCCAAAATCTGGATACACGATACTGGAGCACATGGGTGCTGCTATAGGTGTCAGGAACATTGATACTGGCAAATCCCCTTCATTTATTTCCCTTCGTTCATGCTATTGTTCCGGTGGTGCCACCCCTCTTGCGGCCATTTGCCCAATCGGTTGAATAGGGATATGGATTTGTTGATTGTCAGCCATTTGATGTTGCTGTTTTTGTTTGTGTTCCTTGCGTCTTCGTCTGAAGGTACGTCCTATCTCCGAATCAAACGGTTCAATATCGTCGCCTTGGGCACGGAGCATACAACGAACACAATTTTTTGTAATTAAAAGAAAAATAAACAAATCAAATAACAGCCAAAATAAAAAAATAAATTAAGACTAAAAGAAATAGTCCCCGGCAACGGCGCCAAAAACTTGTTGTAAAATTTTGTTTCGCAAGTGTACGACCCGTAACAAGTAATAGTGGACCTAAGAGTCCGGTTATCGATCCCACAAGGACTGTTTTCTAGCACTTAATTTAATCTTTCTTTAACTACTATTTGATGAATATAAATAAAAAACAATGATTAAATGTGATTTTTATTCTAGATACTTAAAAATGCGATTGGATTCAACGAAAAATGATTGAGAACTCAAACAATAAATGGACGTTAGGGCGGAACAATTTCACCTATTGGTCACCTTTACTTCATAAATCAAGATTCATAAAACCTAAGGTAGTGTTCGGTCGAATTCTTCTATTGTATTCAACTTACCCCTCTCGAGTTCTCATTGAGCCTATTTAATTAGTTTAATTCCATATCTCTATACAAATTAAATTTAATTAAACGAAACATTGGTTCTAAGAATTCACACATGACTGCAACAATCAATATAGGTATATCTACACGTTATATCAATTTACCGAATTTTAACATGTGGTCTAAACAAATAATCTGCATCTCTACGCAATCATTGTTCACAAATCATCTAATTAGCGATCAAGTAATTAAATGTATTAAGAACAACATTAAAATCAACACATAAAATATAAAAGCACTAGAATCCAAGATTACATTGTTCGCCCTAAAATCAAATTTAACTACTCATAATAATGGAAGAAAAATAGGATATTGTCTTAGAATACATCACCGAGTTTGAAATAAAGATGTAGAAGAAAAAGTGAAATTCGTGCACCAAGATCTCCTTCCTCTTCCAATGAATGCTTCCAATCTTCAATTCTTAGTGTTAATCTTTTTAAATTTCTCCTTTGAATCTCCCTTCTTGTTGTTTTCTCTCCAATATGTCAAGAACCCCTCAAAAGTATGAGGAAGAAGTATTTATAGGTGCCCCTCCATTTTTATGTAGAAGTAGGGTTTTTATAGCTTTAAAAACGGCCCAAAAAATGCGCCCTAAATCACCAATCCCAGCGCCTAGGCGCTACAAGACAGCGCCTGGGCGCTGTGTCTTCAGCGCCTAGGCGCTATTGTGGTCAGCGCCCAGGCGCTATTGTGGTGCCTAGGCGCTACCTCTCGAGTCCAAATTTCATCTTTTTTTCGTTTCATAGCGCCTAGGCGCTATGAGTACAGCGCCTAAGCGCCGTCTTTCTGCCCCAATTCCTTGTTTTTGGCCTCTTCGTCCACTTTAATACTTCTTTTCACATCGCTTCTCCTTATCTTCAAAACAACACTAACAAACACATCAAAATGTTCTATACTCATAAAATCTAGCATTTAATTAAGCTAAAATTGTGCGAAAATCATGAGTGAAACAAACTCATCAGAATTCTCTTTGAAGTTTTCCATCAATGTTAGGACGAAGAAGATAAATTTAAACTAGGATTAGTTATGTTGGTGAAATGTGTTATGAAACCAGTTGGAAGAATTATTGATTATAAAACTCTTGACATGGTCGAAGACCTCGATGAATTTCTTGCATATCCATGGGGTCGAAAAGCATACTTTATTTTGTTATATTCACTACAAGAATCTCAATTATAAAGAGTAGAAAGAATACAATAGAACGAACAAATAGATTGCAAGTATGCATTACGAGGGTATCCACTTGCATTTCAGGTATATATTTCGTATTCTTTTATTCTTCTATTGGCTTAATTTATTTGTAAAAATAATAATAATTGTGATTGGTAATTGCGTTGCAGTATTGGATATACGAGACATTTCCAGAAATTGGAAAAAAGATTGGACGTCGTCGATATAAAACAGTGCAAAGTCCGAGAATGTATAAGTGGTGGCCTAATAAAATTTTGACTGAAACAATGGTTAAGCATTTTCTGGCTACTTGAGAGGTATGATTTGTTTAATGAATGTATAATTACATTTGTATTTAATTATTTCAAAAGAAGATCTAATAAAATGATTCTGATATTTTATTACAATTACAAATTCAGGTGATAGTAGTGTTACACTTTACTGAAGAAGAATTGCAAACACCTTGGTACATAAATCTTTCAACGCTTGGTGACAATCAACATAGTGTATTAGATGACATTGTCAATAGACAATTGGATAATGTGGCACAACAAATCCCCGACAACACCTATGAGCAAGAGAGGGATAACATATATGTACAAGAGACGACCATTCCTAGTACCTCAAGAACTTCACCAGCAGTGGTGCCTAATTTAGGATTCAACATGTCAAGTTATGTAACTAAAGACTGAATGGTAGAATTTTTGGGTCTCCAAAAACAAGATATAATAAAAAAAGTGTACGATATACCTGGCAATCTGAGAACAGAAATCTATGACAATCAGAGATAGCTGTTCGAACAACACCAAAAATGGCAAGAAGATCACCTGCAATCTAGCATGCGTTCCTACGTGGACACTTCATTGTCAAGTTTCTTTAACACACAGTTGGAGAAAGATGAATAATTATTCCAACAATAACAAAAATGGCAAGAAGATCATTACCAGATCATGCACTCTTATGTGGATACTAGTCTAGACTCCATGCGACATTATGTTGATGAACAAAATAAGAATACGTTGCAAAAGTTTTCTGACTGGCAATTAAATATGGAAGCCATTACAAGTTGTATGCAATAGGACGTTCCTATTGGTTGAGATCCTATCCCGATGATCAACCAAAGGATGTGTCAATATCTCAACAGGTTGAAAGTTTTGGAACACTGCAAAGAGATGAAAAAGAAGGGAAAACAGATACAGATTTCGTTATCTACAAGACGTCCTTTGGAAGACTATTCTATGAAAAACTACAAGAGAAGTGAACAATGAACCGAGGTAACAAAGAGAATTCTTTAATATTGGCCCAAATAGTCAAATATAATTTAGATTTATTTAACGCTAATTTTAAGGTAATTATATGCAGTGCATTATTGGAAGATAGTACTGGGAACATGTATGGAAGAGACTGGTTTAAAAATTTATTGGATCAAACAAAAGTTATAAATGTTGCGGTGAGTAAAGTTTAGCTATTACATTTAATTTCATTCTATACCTACCATATTAAATTTGTATCTATTTATTCCATCAGGCAATTGAGTTGGAGTTGAAGTTCTTGAGGCGACTCATTAATAATGGTTGCACCCTCGTGTCTAAAGAATATGCCATCATGGACTTTAAATTTGAAAATGAGTGTGCTAATATGCTAATTTGGCAAGGGAATTATACCGCGGGAACTAACAAAAGTGTACCAAACGGAACTGTTCTAAACCAATATGCCAACGACCAATTTCCTGTAGAGAGTCGTCCATGGGTGGGTTGTAACTAGTTATTAATTCCATGCTTATATCCAGGGAATACTTGTTACCTTTTTTTAGTCAATATTCCAGAGTGAAAATTTCAGATATATGACTGCAATCATAATGAGCATACACTAGATCAAGTGAAGGCACATGCGAATGCAACACTTACTGTGGTCAATTCTTTATTGCTCGACAAAGCTTTTGCTGTAAGACGAGATATAAGGAAATATAGAAATAAAAATCTGAAGCAAGAGATCATACAATACATACCCTGTGCAAACAACGAATAAGTGCTGAAAAAATTTCTTATTTAATATAGCATATAATTATTCGTATGTAATAATTTAGTACAACATATAATATTTTTTTTACAGGCCGAACTGTGGAATCTTTGTGTTTAAATATGTAGATTGCTTCATTCTGGGGCATTCATTGGAATTCGTTTCACCAGACAGGATGACTATATATAGACGAAAAATTGCAGTTGATATTTGTAATAATGAATATTTTCTTCATCCCCGTTCGTCTCCTTGATCGTACTGAAGTAATGTAATTCACTGATTGTAACGGAGTATGTCAATGACTAATCAGAATATACTCAGTTAACATGTTACATAATTTTGGTAGCTGTCTATAACTCATAGACATTTTGAGATTACCAAATATTCATATTAAAATGATGTAACGAAAGGGAAAAAAACAGTAAAAAGAAAAAGAATTCATATCTGAACAAGATATCATACCTAAAATTTTCTTCCATAATTTGTCCTTTTGATGGAATCATAAGTTCAAAATTGTAATTATGTCAATTTAATTTCAAAACTGTATAATAATTGTTTTCTATTTTTGCCTGAATCTTTTAGTTTCTGTTCTTTATAATATTGAATTGAATTATTAAATATTGAGTTGGATGAAGTGAAGTCGCACATGAAAATGGAAAAATATCGTAGTTGAGGCGACGATTGTAGTGAAATGACGTGTGAAAATGGTGAAATGATTATTAAATATTGTTTCCAGTCTATCCTACATGCTTTGGATATGAGAGAGAACTCTTTCTCCACATTTTCACACTATCAACTATTCAACACATTTTACCATTTTATTAGTAATAATTTTTTTTCGAAATATTTTTTTATATAAAAGTTTTTCTTTATTTTTAAAATGTAAACAATTAGTTATAACTGAAAAGATCATTTCATATTATTCAAAAGTAAAATGAACTTATAATTGTAAAAGTTACTTACAAGTAAAAAAATATTAACTTCAAAATTTTTAAGTATAAATATTTAACTATAGTTAGTTTAGTAAATTAGATATTAATAAAAAGAATGGATTATCTATAATGTAAAAAGTTACTTATTAAT